TAACATCATAAATAACATAAATGACATCATTCATGTTATTTTGATTGGGAAGACAAAGGTCTTTGAGATTTTAAATGAGCAAATTTTGTAAAATAATGGTAAATATTTACGAAAACACCAGCTACAATGCGGCATCATGTTATCTAGGGCACCAGTGTATGCTCAAACTGTGCTTTCTCTAAGATCCTGCCATTTCATAACTACAAACTGCATTTTGCCTCCTGGTTGCTCATCTTAGGAAATGTAAAATATCTGAGCTCCTGGGTTAGCTCAGGGAACTTTGCAAGGGAGCCTCGAAAAGATTGATTTAATGTTGGACAGTACTTATTAAGTGTACATATTATGAAACAGTGTTGGGGGCATGGGCCATGTTTAGGTTTTCAGTACAGTCAGCTTTGTTGTATGTTGAGAGGGGTTTTTTTACATATAAATACAAGAAATTGTACTTATCTTTCAAGGCGCCCAATCTTTTTTTCTTATTCTTTTTTTTTTTTTTTTTTTTTTTTTGAGACAGAGTCTCATTCTGTTGCCCATGCTGGCATGCAGAGTGGCTCCATCTCAGCTCACTGCAACTTATACCTCTTGGGCACCTCTTGGGCTCAAGTGATCCTCCCGCTTTATCCTCCAGAGTAGCTAGTACTACAAGCACACGCCACCAGGCCTGGCTAATTTTAAAAATTGTTTTGTAGAAACGAGATCTCACTATTTGGGCCAAGCTGGTCTTGAACTCTGGGCTCAAGTGATCCTCCTGCCTCAGCCTCCCAAAGTGCTGGGATTATAGGCATGAGCCACTGGGCCTGACCTCCCCAAGTCTTTTCTTATAACCCTCCAAATAGATGATAAAATAAATTGTGTGTATATATATATACCTTGACTTGAAATGTTGCACAGAAATGTCTAGTGGAAGGAGCAATTGTTATTTATTTTTATTGCCCTTTTAAAAGCATGAATGTTTTCATTCCGTTGTAATGATGTGTGCCACTCTGGTTTTGAAGCTGTACATTTACTGAGTTTGTCCACAATTCTTTGTCTTTTTCTTATCAGCCAAAATATTCATCTGCCATCTGCCTCCTACTTGGAAAGCTATACTCATTGGAATATTCCCATGCCTTATCCTTGGAAGACATACTGATTCCATTTTGTTTATAGATAAACAGTGAAGGAAGTACTAATTCCGTTTTGTTTATAGATAAGCAATGAAGAAAGGCAAGCAGAACAGAGGAAGTATGGAGTGTTCTTTGATGATGACTATGACTACCTGCAGCACCTGAAGGAACCATCTGGGCCCTCAGAGCTCATTCCCTCAAGTACCTTCAGTGCATACAACAGGAGAGAGGAGAAAGAAGAAACACTGGTAATTCCAGTAAGACTATTCAGCAATTTCAGTGTGGGAATGAGGTGAAGAAATCATTTTTAAATCAGGATAACTGTTTGGGGCAAGAAATGGTGTCAGTATGAAGAACACAAAGATAGACCATGCCTCCACTTAAAATAATATGTGTATATGCACGTGTATACCATCAGGAGAGAATAGGTCACCTCTTCTCTGGTGTCAGGTTTCAACAGTAACAGCCTTTTTATAGGTTTAAAACTTTTGATTGATAGACATGGCCATGTTAGAGAGCACTTTTCAAGAGAAGAAAAGCAGTCGACATTCTAACAGTTATGTTAACAACATAACTGTTTCAGGATCATAAACTCTGTTCTAAGATGGAACTTAACTTCTGTGGAGTATTCAGATCTTTTAACACTTTTGTGCCCATGAGCAGGCTACCCATAAGCGAGAACAGAATGAGTGGATGATAATACCAGTCCTGTCTTGTAAACAAATGTTTGGTCTACTTTAATACCTTCTCTTCCAGCACAAATGATAGTACATGTTTATGTGAAATTAGTGCTGCTAGCCTAAGTTCTGTTTCCTCCCCTGTTTATGTGAAGAATGCCCAGGTTTTATGCCTCTGTGACTTTATTTTTAATTTGATGTAGAGTAAATTCCCCTGTGGGAAACTTATATCACTAGCACTTTTTAAACAGGAGACATTCATTATTATGTTAATGAGCGAAAGGAAAGAGATAGAAAGGGCACCAGCTTACCCTTCTTCTCATTCCACAATTGTGTCATGGTCTAGGCATTCCTTTCCTTGGGGAAGATGTGATTATAGTTCTTACAGGCAACAGCTTATTGCTTAAGGAGACTCAGAAGGGTTAGGTTTCAAGATATCATCCCAAAGAAAGTGAACTGCAGCAGCTCATACACTAACTAGGCTGTGGCTCTTTAGTAAGACCCCAAATCCCACATGTGTCATAGAGAACCAACTTCTTTATTCCTTCTTCTCCAAGGCTTTATTGTTGTCTTATTGGCTCACTTCCTTCTATAACCTATTGAGAGAGAGAAGGGGCTCCATAGTGACTCAACTTGTTTATCTAAGGGAAAAAAGTCTTAGTAAACTGTTGCCTGGCTGGATTGTATTGACCAATACAAGACTAACTTTTAATCTGTAATTCATTTTGAGTAAAAGCAATCACTAATGGCTTTTTAACAGGATAAGGCTCTTATATGGACACTTCAGTGATGTTTACAGAAATAACTGAATTATATTTAAAAATAAAAGTGCTGTTGGTTTTCTGTAGAGCTATGAAAAAATAGGGATTAGTCCCATGTACTTTTTTACTTTAGTTTTTGCGACATACCACCAAATTCGAATAGATTAGAAATAATGAATAACCCCTAGAAACAGTGTATGACAGTGTAAAAAGGCAATATAGCAATGATTGATGCTTGAGCAGGCCCTGATTTTCACATGAAAGAAAGAGAGTGCTGCCATGGTAGAAAACTACTGCAACCAATAAAAACACAGCACTCTAAAAAAAATAATAATAATTCGTCTAGACTCTAATCATGTATCTGATTCTTTGACTACTTTTCAAGATTTGAAAAATATCTCACAAAGGTAAATTCATTTAACACAAGCTGACCTTGTGTTTAATCCCAAACTTCTAAGGATAAATATCACAAAGGGTACCTTTTAAATAAAACCTAAAAGACTATGTCGATTTTACCACAATTCTAAGTAATTAATAATGTAATATACTTAAAAACCTTTGAATTGTACACTTTAAATAGGTGAATTATATGTGAATTATGTCTTGGTAAAGCTGTTTTCTTAAAAATATACTCTACAGAAAATAACAGATCTTTGCCCATGTTTATGCTACTGAGAAACTCATTTTGGAAGCCATATCATCTTGCTGTGGGTACACTGCCATATGTAGCCTTTTTTCATGCTCCTCAGAGGCTTCAAATTCAGAGAAGTCTCTCAGTGGCCAATGAGCATGCACATTCCAGCTTTGTGCCTCTTCCTGGACTGAGGATAGGGCAGGTGGTGAGGTGCACAGAGATAGATAACACATGGTGGTTGTCCTCATGTTTTCAACTGGTTGAGGAGAGGAAACTAAGGCCTAAGAACCAGTCAGCGAATATAGGCTAGCACATGTTTAAGTAGATTGCAGCATAAGTGTGAAGAAGGTGGGGAGTTCACACAAAGGGAAGTTCTAGGACAGTGATCAGAAAGGGTTTATGCAGGAGGGTAGGAACCGAGCTGGCCACCAGGCGGTGGGTACTGTTGACAGGAGAAGGAACATTTTCAGTCAGCAGTGTGGTTCAGTGTCAGACACATGTGCCAAGTAAAGTGTTTCACATTATTGCAAGACTGAGGAATGGACTTGATTTGCATGGTCGTATAGAGTAACTGAGAAATTTGGATACATAGAGTAGGTCTTGATTTTATAGGACCTTGAAAACCAGGGCGTTAAATGCAGAGTGAAAAATTGAGACCTGTTAGAAATTCAGGAAGGTCACATGATGAAACCATTAAAGGGGCTTAATCTAGCAGTGGGTATGAAGGTTGTACTAGGTATAGACTAGCTATATGAGCGGTTGCAGTCATTTATGTCTTGTTTAACTATAAATGAGATAATGCTCAAAAGAATGGAGTGAAATCACTGTATGTAATAGAGATTTCAAGGGGACATAGGACAGAAAAATGATTTATAACCACCCAAGGATTTAAGATAGCCAATTCATAGAAGGGTTGTGCTATTACTGGAGATTAGGATGTTGTCTCTAGTTTAAGAGGAAAAAGTTTAATATTGTTTTGAAACTTCAGGCAAGTGGAGTTATGAAACTCTGGGAGTTGAATCCCAGAACCTCACTTACTGATCATTCTCAGGCAGGCAGCCCATTTAAACTTTCTTAGTTTTAGGTCTTTTGCCAAAATAATGGTGATACCTCATGGAATCTGAGGGATAAATGGAATAATCTACTAGAGAAAGCGTCATGATGTATTACAGAGAGTTGCTTTTGAGTTGCTGCTGGAATATCCTTGTTTAACGTATGTATAACCTGGAGCACAGGTGAGAGAACACTGAATGTAGTTGTAACAGTTTCCGAGGACTGCAGTAACAAATTACCATAAACTAGGTGACTTAAAACAACAGAAATTTATTCCCTCGTGGTTCTGGAGGTCAGAAGTTTGAAATTAAGGTATCAGCAGGGTTGGCTTTTTTCTTGGAGGCTTAGAGGGAGGCTGTTACATGGCTCATTCCTAACCTCCAAAGGTTACCAGTGGTCATTCCTTGGAGTTCCTTGTGTTACAGAGGTCTCACTCCAGTTTGCTTTCATCTGCATATGGCGTTCTCCCCTGTGAGCCTCTGTCCTCCTGTGGCCTTGCTATAGGGCCATGATCCGGTAAGACCTCATCTTATTATAGTTCAGGGGACCCTATTTCAAATATGGTCACAGTCTGAGGTTCTGGATGGAATTTGATTTTGGGGGGACTTCAACCCAGTACACTAGTTCAGAAGTATTTCCAAACAAACCTAACCAGTGTGCAATTTCTTTTTCAAGAGCACTGGAATTAAGTTGCCTTCATCAGTGTTTGCTTCAGAGTTTGAAGAAGATGTTGGATTGTTAAATAAAGCAGCTCCAGTTTCAGGTATGTTTAACTCCTTTGTCTTTTCATTTGGATAAACGTATTTTGCAAAACATAAAGAAATGATGTAACACTTTTCTATTCTTAGTAAAGTATTGAAACAATTGAAATATGTCTGGAATTCAGATCAGAGATTATTAGGAAGGGATGAGTGTGATCTTTGTTTTTTTGTATTCCTACCATCAAATTCTTACATCTTTTGAGTTCCTGTTTGGAGAAGAGAGTGGGGAAACTATTCTTGGTAATCTAGTAGGGGAATTGCAACCATCACCTAACCTCTTATAAAAATAGTGGTATTCATTATTCATTACTTGAAGTGTAATTTTAAAAAATAATCTGTTGTCTTTCAAAATTTCTCCCTACAGCATACAGGTATTTTTATAGAAGTTCATTTTGCCATCTGCACATATGTTGGGGGAAAATTTTATTTTTAATTTTTAGTGCTAACATTGTATTTCAGAACAAACACAAAAGTCCGCAGAAGTGGTGTTGGTATTTTCTCCTAAGTTGCTTTAATTATTAACTAACACTTACCCTGTGGCATTCATTAATTAATTTATTCTACAGATGTTTGAGTTGCCACTGTGTGGCAGGGCCTTGGGTTAAAACAGAATAAAGCATAGTCTCTGACCTAAAGACTACCTCATTTGGGAAAAATAAACCATAAATGATAAATTACAGCATATTTGGATAATACTAGTGCGGTTAGGAGCATAAACCCAGCCTCACGAAGTTGGGCAAGGCTTTCTAAAGGAGATGATGTCTAGTTTGTTTCTTAAGTAAAAGACAGGTGGAAGAAGGAGGGGTGGGGTGGGAGAAGAAGCAAGAGAACATGAGTATAAGGTAACTTTACACACTTTAGCACGCCCAGAAGGAAGGGTATGGATTAAAAAGAAATGAGACTGAAGGGTTAAGCATTGACTGTAGCAGAGGGTGTTGGAGGCCAGTCAAGAGTTTTTCTTGAACTCTGTTTTTCTTGTTTTTGTTTTTGTTTTTTTCATTTTCTGTTCCTTGTGGAGCAGAGCAGTGTGTCCAGAGTCAGCCTAGTATTTTTGTAGATGAAAGAACATATGTGAAGAGGTAGGGTATTTATTAAAATCTCATCACCAGAGACTGAAAATATAACAGTTTACAAATTGTTCATTTGAGTTACTTCTAACAGGTTAATTTAAAGCCCAGTTTCTTCCTGCAGACAAAAGCTTTGAATTATGCTAGACAAAGTTTAACATTATAGATCTATAATGGAAGGGTATTGTTACAGTGGATATCGAAAGGAGAGGCAGCATTTTTTTTTCCTTTTGTTTGTCTTGGAATGATCACTCTTTATTCTTAATCATTCTTTTATCCTCAATATATAAATAGACTCTTACTGTCATAGGTCCATATATTGTTAAATGAATGAATTGTTGCTCTCTTGGGAATTATTGTTTAATTTTTGTTTTCCTTCAGGACCTCGACTGGATTTTGATCCTGACATTGTTGCAGCTCTTGATGATGATTTTGACTTTGATGATCCAGATAATCTGCTTGAAGATGACTTTATCCTTCAGGCCAATGAGCCAACAGGAGAGGAAGAAGGAATGGATATACAGTATGTATGGTTTGTTTCAAACCTAAGCGTTACTGCTTCAGTGGGATGGTAACCATGGAACTAATAATTGGAGGAGAACTTCAAGAGCATTTAGTCTGAAACTTCTGTGTTGAGAGCAGAAAATGTGAGATTCATTGCTTTTCCTACCAAACCAGATTGGTCAAACACCTTCACTCTTTCTGCCTAGACAAGAACTCTTCCTGAAATATCTTTACTTGTGTAAAGTGGTTTTGTTCTGTTACTTTTTAAGTTGTTTTTGTAGGTAATTTCTGACCTTTATTTTAGGAAATCTGTGGATGAAGATGACAGTGAGTGGGAAGATGTGGATGATAAGGGAGATAGCGATGATGACTGTGACTCTGCAGGCCCATTATCAGATGAAGATGATGTGTCTGTGCCTGGAAAAACTCATGGAGCTATAGCAGACCACTTGTTCTGGAATGAAGAAACAAAAAGTCGCTTCACAGAGTATTCGATGACTTCCTCAGTCATGAGGAGGAATGAACAGCTGACTCTACACGATGAGAGGTTTGAGAAGGTAAGGGCCCCAAATAAAGGATGTTTTAGTACTGTCTTATAGTAATTTTTTTTTTAATACCTATCAGCTTTAGCCCAGGTTGAAGTACTTACCAGTCACAAAATAGTGGCAACAACACAGTCAATCATAGGAAGTTTACAGCTATCCAGTTATAGGTTTGTGTAGCCAACATAAAGCAGAAGGGCAGCAATAACTGTGATAGACAACTCACTTAAGTTTCTATTTGGCCCTTAAAACCCCCACAAGTGGCAAAGGTAAAGATAGAAGCAGTCCACTTGAGGACTTTGATGAAGCTGAGCGGGTTGAGGCTGATCTGGAAGCTGGACATCTCTGGTCGAGTCTGCTGATTCGCTTCCAAGCTAAGTAGATGTTAGGCGCCTTGCTGTGTGCCTTGTTTTTTTGTTTTTAATTTAAAGAACGAGATTGAGACCCAAAGCTAAAACTTTTGAGTGTTGGAAACAGCGTGTCTCTTTATTAAAACAGAGCACAAGAGTACCCTAGTTATTGTTGTTTTCCCTTTACTCATTCTATGAGGCCAATCACCCTAGTTTTGATTCTGGAAAGAGCATGCATAGGTCAAAAGGATTGGCTGATCAAACGTTCTTATTTTCCTCTTTGAGTTCTGACATCCTGATTCTGAACTCCTCCAACAGTAGTCCGTAAGATGCTATGTTTCTGAAGTATCAGCCTGATGGAGCACAAACAAAATTCCATTTCTTTCCATTTCTCACCTGGAGTTTTCAGACATAACTAACACTAAGGAACAGAATGGAAATAGAGTATAAGATGCTTTCGAAAGCTTGAATTTTCATTTACTGTATTTGGTTCTGCTGTAACAGATTCACTTCAGGGTTTATTTATAATCCCAACCTGTAGCTGACTTATACAGGTTCTTAACGCCACCTATGCTGTTGTTCTGTAGCACATAACATCTCCTAACATCATCTCTAATGTGCATCTTTATTACGTATGTCATGTTTAGATTTGTCTCAGATTAGAATGTGAATTCCCCAAGGGCAGAGATTTTTTGTGTTTTGCTCGTGGATACATCCCAGAGCCTAAAGTGGTGTCTTGGCATGTAGTAGAAGTTTAAAGTGTTCCATAAATGATAAATGGATGAAGGAATAGTTTTCTTCAAGGTGAATCTGAAATAAAGGGCCTTACTTTGCTACCTTCTGACCTAATACTATTTTCCCTTTCCTCTTGAGGGAGAAGCAAACTGTTGCTACAAATCTCACTCTTCAAGAGATACATCACCCCCTATTTACTCTTTGTCACAGCTTAATAGTGTCAACAACATTTGCATGATATAGCAATTATTGTCTAAATAAGAATGAAGTTTATACATTAGCAGGACGTTTTTCAGTTGCACAATCTTTTAGTTTGCATAGCCAAGGAATTTGAAAATATCTTCAGGCTAGGCATGGTGGCTCATGCCTATAATCCCAGAACTGTGGGAGGCTGAAGCAGGTGGATCACTTGAGCCTAGTAGTTTGAGACCATCTTGGGCAACACAGATCCTGTTTCTATTAAAAACAAAAAATTAGCCTGGTGTGGTGGCATGTGCCTGTGGTCCCAGCTGCTGGAGGGGCTGAGGTGGGAGGATCACTTGAGCCTGAGAGTTCGAGGCTATAGCGAACTACGATTGTGCCACTGTACTCCAGGCTGGGAGACAGTGTGATACTTAAAAAAAAAAAAGAAAAAAATCTTCAGAAATGTTCTGGCGTAATCTGTGCCTATCATTTTGTTCTCCAAGCTGAATGGAATCATGCCTTTCATTTACATGTCAAATGGGAGCCTATTTTTAGCCTAAATGTATGTCTTAAAGTACTGAGCAGAAATATCTTCCATGTCCTGTTGTTGCATTAAATCCCTACTAATATTTTAATGGTAATTTTGATAGTGCTTGTGTAATAATAAAGTTATTGTAAAAAAAAAATGTGTAGTATTACTGAGTATATTTGCTTTTCATGGTATCTTTTCTTTGTTTATATTCAAGTTTTACGAGCAATATGATGATGATGAAATTGGAGCCCTGGATAATGCAGAATTGGAAGGTTCTATTCAAGTGGACAGCAATCGCTTACAAGAAGTTTTGAATGACTACTACAAAGAGAAGGCAGAGAAGTACAGTGACTTTTCTTTCCTTGTTTAGCTGCTCTTTAAAAAAAAAAAAAAAAAAAAAAACTCCAAAGAAAGATCTATAGTATAACTGAATTGAGGAAAAAAATCCACCTACTCAAAATCCATATTAAGAAAATAAAAAGCGAAAAAGAAAAGGAAAATAGGAGGGGGAAAAAAGAAAGTGGTACATTTTCCATAAACTTTGGCTCATATATAGCTCATCTCTTTTGCCTATATTTTGGTATTGGCGTTCTGAAGTAGAATGTAATAGGAATATATGAGGAGCCATATTCTTTGTATCTTTGACTTGAGAAGAGTCGCGGTAGAATGTACGTTCAGCTTTTTATTTATTTTATTTTTTTGAGACAGACTCTGGCTCTGTTGCCTGGGCTGGAGTGCAGTGGGGCAATCTTGGCTCACCTGCAACCTCCGCCTCCCAGGTTCAGGTGTTTCTCCTGCCCCAGCCTCCTGAGCAGCTGGGATTACAGGCGCATGCTGCCACACCCAGCTAATTTTTGTATTAGTAGAAATGGGGTTCCAACATGTTGGCCAGGCTGGTCTTGAACACTTGACCTCATGTAATATGCCCGCCTTGGCCTCCCAAAGGCCTGAGATTATAGACGTGAGCCCCTGCGCCTGGCCCATTTTTAAATTTTTTCTTACTTTCATTTATTTTGCTTAAAAGTTTTGATAGAAGAATGAGTATTATTAGAGTGTGAAATAATGACAGGCTGGGCATGGTGGCACACACCTGTAATCTCAGCTACTTGGAAGGCTGAGGCAGGAGAATCACTTGAACCTGGAAAGCAGAGGTTGCAGTGAGCTGAGATAGCACCATTGTACTGTAGCCTGGGTGGCAGGGCAAGATTCCATCTCAAAAAAAAGAAATATAAGGACACATTCCACTTGGAAAATAAGATGGTGTTTCTAGTCTTTGGGCTGAAGAATTAAGAATTATTCCAAGTATATACTCTTTTCATCTTTCTGAAATGCCAGGTGTTCTGAGAAGTAGGTATTTATGTCTTGTGAAAAGATAAGAATTTGTTTCTCCAGCTGGATTAGCAGAACCGACCAGCCGGTTATTTTGGCAAATCAGCATCCACGTCAACGTGACTCTTCTTTGAGAGAAACTGAGGAAATGTTCAGATCTGCTTGAAAGGTCTGATGTTCCATGATCACTATAATATATAGATCCTATAGCAGGACAAGGAGCTATATAGTTTGAGTAAAGTATTTGAATACTTTAGGGAGACAGTTGAATTATGCTTTTTTAGGCTTTAAAAACCTGTTTTATTAGGAAGCTGCCTTGAAAAGACGCTGCTAGTGAATGTCCAAAACTAACTGTGGGGAAGAGGCAGGGCTGGGTAAAACAGAGTTTGACAGAAAATGATAGATGAGACACTGGACTATGTGCATTTAAAACATTGGGTTTTTCCACAGCTAACAATTGCAGTTTTAGTGACATGGTATAATAGTAGGTCACTTTTCTCCCTTCTCATTCTTCGCTTTTAAAAACTCAACCAAAAGTTGTATAAAATTGAATACCCTTGAACCCTTGGAGGATCAAGACCTGCCAATGAATGAGCTTGATGAGTCTGAGGAGGAAGAGATGATTACTGTAGTCCTTGAAGAAGCCAAAGAGAAGTGGGATTGCGAATCTATTTGTAGTAAGTATATTCACTTTATGATAATAATTTTTAAAGTATTAAAGTATATCAACTTTAGGCTGGGCACGATAATCCCAGTACTTTGGGACGCCAAGGTGAGTGGATCACCTGATGTCAGGAGTTTGAGGACCAGCCTGAACAACATGGTGAAACTCCTGTCTCTACTGAAAATACAAAAAATTAGCTGGGCATGGT